TATTAATAATATAAATAATTAATAATATTAATATTAAATAAATAAATTTAATTCTATAAATAATTTTAGGATGTTACATTGCATGAATTAATGGATGAAGAGGATATATTACAAGAATGTAAAAGCCAAAATAAAAAACTTATTGAATAGTGAGTAAAATTAAAAATTAAAATTAAAATGCATTATTAAAATATTAAATATAAATATTTTAATATAATATTGACTATAGTCTTACAAGATCTGATGTAATGGAGGAATTAATAACACTTACAACTAAAGAACCATCAACAGATATAGAAGAACGTTGGCGCTACAAATATCCAAATGTAGCTTGCGAATTATTGACCTGTGATGTACCAGTTTTAAATGAAAAATTAGCAGGTTTGAATAAATCTATTTAAATAAATTTGTATAAAAATATAGTATATAATTTATTATAAAGATTTATATAAAATGTAATGTTTACAAAATTTATAATTGAAGTAATGTAATTTATTTAATTATTTCAAATTTTAACGAAAATATTAATAAAATTATTCTTTTAGGCAATGAAACATTATTGGCAAAACTTTATTCTTTTATTGATACGGACCAACCATTAAATCCTCTTTTAGCATCATTTTTTAGCAAAACTATTGGAGTACTTATTGGTCGGAAAGCTGTTCAGGTGAATATAAATTAATATAATAATTTATTTAAAATTAAATATAAAAAATAATATATATTAATATAAAGTAATTTAACATAATAACATTCTTTATAACTATATTATAATTACGTTATAATTATTAAAAATTAAGTTATCTTTTCTTTTATTCTTTGATTATAATAATAAACTGAATAAATTCAAATCCCATATTTCCATTTTTTTATCAGAACTGGTATTCGTATCAGTTCACTTGTTTACAGCTTTTAGAATTTTTGAAAAGTCGCCAAACATGCGTCGATCTTCTTTTACAACATTTAGAGACATCTGCAATTATGGACTTAGTACTGAAACTTGTTAGTCAGGTTGAAGGAAATATGCGGCAAAATATTCTAAATGTAAGAAGTTATAAAATTCTTATCTTTAATATAGTTAATTTTTTTTGCACAAATCTTTTATTTGATATATTTATATTACAAGTATTTTATTTAATATATTTATATTTATATTATACTATTATATATATATATTTATTTTAATAGTGGCTAGATAGTCAACAATTAGTGCAAAGAGTGGTAAAATTATTATCTCCAAATTCTGAATCAAATAAACATGCAAATGCTTCACAATTACTTTGTGATATGATAACTGCTGGAAGAGAATATCAACGCACTACTACAGCACGCACTGATCCGGATCCTATTTTAAATACCCTTGAATCGTGAGTATAAATAATCAGAATAATACATAGTAATTAATATATGTAAGATATTTAAATTACATTTTTAATTATAGAGCAGATACAGTAAGCTTATTATTAGAGACTATTTTAACTGGAGAAAAACTAGAAAGTAGTATTCTTGGTGGAATTCGGGTACTTCTTAGACTTCTAGTAAAAACTAACAAGTAAGTATATAAATTATTTTTAAAAAATTTTTAACTTTTTATAACAAAATATACATATTTTATTAATAGTAATATTTGAATTTTCAGTGGAAGAAATGAAGATAGTGTTCATGGAAATGGTATTGAAGATGAAATTACAGAT